CGCGGGGGCGGGGCGGCTGCTGCGGGCGGCTGGGCGGGCCTGGCTGCCCGCCTGACTGCCCGCCTGACTGCCCCGCGAGGCAGGCCCGCCCGACCCGTCCCTCCCCCTGTCGTCGCGGGCCCCGCCCGCCTCGCCGCCGTGCGCCGGAGGAGGCGGAGGGGGAGGGGGAGGCCGTGTTGTTGCGTCTCCGTGCCGCCGAGGCAGCCCGGATGGCGGAGGGTGCCGTCCGGCGGGCGGCGGAGGCGGCGGCACGGAGCGGTGCGGCGGTGGCGGCGGCTGCGATGGCGGCGGCGGAGGGCGCGGGCCGGTTGGGTAGTGGCCAGGGCCGCTAGGCGGAGCCCTCGGGCCAGGCGTCGGCGCCGGAGGAGGCTGAAGGCGTGGCGACGGGAGCGGCGGAGGCGGCGGCCTCGCGAAGCGCGGCGACTCTGCTACGGTCTGACCGTTCCCCGCCGGCGGCTGGGCTGCCGCCGCGTCCCGGCCGCGCGAGGCGGGTCGCTCCTCCTCGCTCAGCTCCGAGCGGATCGCGCCGTAGAGGCGACTGGAGGCCCAGTCTCGCGTCAAGAGGCTCGCGTGGAGAGCAGAGGAGCTGCCGGCGCCGTGGCTGCCGGCGCGGCCGAGCTTGGCCGCGAGCGTGCGTTGCGTGGCCTCCGAGCCGGTGTCGCCGGGGAGCCCGTGCGCATGGCTCAGTGCAAGATTGAGCAGGTGCTCGAGTTGCCTCACCGGCACACTCGGCGCCGCGCCCACCTCGCAGAGCTCCGCGTCGAGCTCCTTGGCAGCTCCGAGGTGGCCCTCGTTCTGCAGGAACTGGTGCACTAGCGCGAGTATCTCGCGCCGGTCGAGGCGCCAGAGGTCGGTGGCCATGCGGGAGCCGAAAAGTAGCTGGCGCACAGCAGCACGCCCTGAAGCCCAAAAGCTTGAGCAGGTCCCACCAAGGGTCCCACAAGGCCCGGGGCAAGGCAAGGGAACCCCCCGCCGCGAATGCGAGGTGGCATGAAGGTCGCTGCAAGAATTGGTGAGAAACTGCGGAGAGAGATAGGAAGTGGTAGACGCCCGAGGGTGGGCGACGGCTAACACCACACTTCTCCCCTAAAATCCCTGTGTGGGAGAGAGAGAGATCTCTCTCTCTGTGTGGTGGCGGCGTACCGTCCTCCCATCCCTCCCTGGGGTTGTCTGTTTTCTTTCTTTCTTTTTTACCCCCGCGCCTCGGCGAGCCTCGGCGAGACAGTGTTAGCGTTTTGTGCAAGTTCCTCCAAGGGATTTTTCGCGTGTCTTGACTGCCCGCCACTGTGTGCTGTAGTGCTATTTCTGGGGTTCCTTCGTAACCCTGAGTCACAGTGCGCACCCCGCCCCGCTCACAGGGCGTGCATCACACAGGTGGACTGTGCCACGGTTTCTCTCTCGTTTGACTCGAGAAATAAAAAACTCCGGCTCTTCTGCGAGAGCTCTTGCAGGCGAGCCGATCCAGCCCGCGCCGCGCCTTCTCGCCCTCTCCTCCACGCTCCCATGCCTTTCGGGCTGATGACGCTCACGACGATGGCCAGCTGCGTCGCGCCGCGCTGCAGACACGCAGCGAGCACGCTCGGCTCCTCCGCCGCGTTAGGCCGCAGGGCCGCCCGCGTGCTCTCGGCACCGCGATGTGCTGCGAGCACCTTGGCAGACGCAGGCGCGGCGGCGGAGACGGCGGAGGCGCCGGGCGGCGGCGGCGCGGCTGGCGTCAAGAAGCGGGTGCTCTCGGGCGTGCAGCCCACCGGAGTCTTGCACCTCGGCAACTACCTCGGCGCGATCCGGCAGTGGGTCGCCAACCAGGAGTCATATGACAACTTCTTCTGCGTGGTGGACTCGCACGCGATCACGCAGCCGCACGACCCGAAGGAGCTCTCGCAGGCCACCTACCGGACCGCGGCCCTCTACCTCGCGGCTGGCATCGACCCCAAGCGCTCAAACATCTTTGTCCAGTCGCACGTCTCTGCGCACTCCGAGCTGATGCACTCTCCACCTGGGAGGCGGGCGGCGCGGCTCCTCGCACCTCTCCACCGGTGGCGATGTGAGCAGGTGGATGCTCAACTGCGCCACGCCGATGGGCTGGCTCGAGAAGATGATCCAGTACAAGGAGAAGTCGCAGCGCGCCGCCAACGCAAAGAGCGTCTCGGTCGGCCTCTTCGACTACCCAGTGCTGATGGCAGCGGACATCCTGCTCTACCAGGTGAGACCGCCCCCCCTCCCGCAGCCTCCCGCCCCTCCCCGCAGCCCTCACACAGGATGCAGACTCCGCGGCCCCGGCCGGCCCGCAGCCCTCCCGCCGCTCCTCGACCTCGACCCTCCTCCCGCACAGTCCTCGGCCCGGCGCCGACCTTCTCCTCGCCGACCCTCTCCTCGCCCCCACCTAGGCGCAGCTCGTCCCTGTGGGCGATGACCAGCGGCAGCACCTCGAGCTCACGCGCGACATCGCCCGCCGCTTCAACGACAAGTACGCCAAGAAGAAGAAGCGCAAGGTCTTCGTCGAGCCGGAGGCGCTCATCGTCAAGTCAAACGCGCGCGTGATGAGCCTGCAGGACGGGACCGCAAAGATGTCAAAGTCGGACGCAAACGACCTCTCGCGCATCAACCTCCTCGACAGCCCGGACGAGATCCGGAGGAAGATCAAAAAGTGCAAGACGGACTCGATCAAGGGGATCGGCTACTCGCCCGACCGGCCGGAGGCGAACAACCTGCTGGGCATCTACGAGGCGATGACGGGCAAGAGCAAGGAGGAGGTGGAGGCGGAGGCCGCCACCTGGGTTGGCTGGGGCACCTTCAAGCCGCTGCTCGCCGACGCGCTGATTGCGCACCTCGAGCCGCTGCAGGCGCGGTACGCGGAGCTGGTCGCCGAGCCGGAGTACCTCGCCTCGGTGCTGCGGGAGGGCGCCGAGGCGGCGGACGAGACGGCGAGCCGCACGCTCGCCGACGCGAAGCGGGCGATGGGCTTCACGCTGCCGGGCGAGACGCCCAAGTTTTGAGGAGGCGGAGGCGGGCGGTGCTGCGGCCGGGGCCTGGCCCAGAGTGAAGAGGCTCTCACCAAAGAATTCTTAAAATACAAGCCTCTCTCACAGCACACTGGCACGACAAGGGCGCGGATTTCTCGGACTTCCACCGGCTCTCCCAAAGAAAAAAATCTTCGCCAACAAGCGAGTTCGCGCGCGGCAAGAGCCTGACCCTGTCGAGCACTCCAGATCTCACCTGGTTGCAAGACCATTGATAAGCTTCATGTCCAGCCGAAGGCAGCACGCCGCGCCTGTCCGGTACGGCGAATTTGAAATGGGCGAGTCGAGCGACGACGAGGCGCCGATCCCGCGCCGCCGGCCGGCCAAGCCAAAGGCGGCTCCTGCGGCGGCTCCTGCGGCCGCTCCGGCGCCAATCAAGTTCAAGCTGACCGTGGGCGGGCAGCCGGTTCCCGATGCCGCGGCCGGCGAGGCTGATGAGCCGCCGGCGCCCCCTCCGCCGCAGTTCTCCCGCGAGGAGTCTGAGCTGCTTGAGCGGTACGCGCAGCTGCGGGAGGCGGCAAACGCCGCCCGCTCTTCCGCCGGTGGCAAAGCGGCCGCTGAAAAGGAAACCGCGAGCTTGCTGCCCGGGGAGGCTGCGGCGGCGTTGCGTGCCGACGGTGCCGGTCAAAAGTCGTTCAAGAGACCCACGGCCAAGCGGGGCAGGAGGCCGCCCGGCACAGAGGCGGCCGGGTTTGGAGTGGGCGCGTCTGCACCGCCCCCACTGCCGCACGCATGGCCGTGATCGAGTAGGTATGGTACAAACAACACGAATTACGTAAGACTCTATAGACTTCCTTTACCCTTTTCGGCCCCCCTGGGTGATGCTCTGATAAACCCTCCGGATCTTCGACAAAGGTCGGATATTTCTTTTTTCAAAGTGCAAGGTGTGAATAAGAGGTTTATGATAGGGCTACTACGACGAACTATGCGGCAATCGACTGGGCGCCTGGCGCCCGACCACCCCCGCGCAAAGACCTCGTAGTAGCCCTCCCCGTAACCGACTTGTCCAGGCCGCTGTCGCCGCGCAGATCGGCGCGAGCAGTCGCTCGAGGGGCTCTACTGGCTGGCGGTGCTCAAGGGGAAGGCGTACACGCTGGCCGAGGACACGGTCGTCAACACCGACACCATCCCCGCGGGCTATCTCGTGGTCAAGGCGCAGTGGCTCAGGCTCGAGCAACGCGAGTGCGAGGGCAAGCTTCGCTCCTACACGCTGCTCGAGGCCGAGACGCTCATCATCGTGAATCACATGGTGCGGCTGGCGGGCTTGCGCTTCTCGCCCGGCCCGGGCGGCCCTGCGGACCGCCAGCTGAGGAGCGCGCGCGAGAAGCTCTATTATATTGGCCTACAGACGCATACTCGCTCGAGGCGTGCTGCAGTGAAGGCTAGTGCCATTTCACTGTGGCACAGCTCGCGTTACAAAACCTTGATTTGACCATTTGCGCCATTTTGTCCCTCTCGGTGCCTTCCA